CCCCCCCCATATAATAACTTGATTACTAATTCCACTTTCTATTTGCCAGTTTTCTGTGGGTCATGTTTTAGGTACTAATAAACTATGAGTATGAGACATGGTTTACTGTAACAATGTTACTGTTGATTTATGTATTTATCTAAAAACTTACTACAAAAACATGAACAGCATTGTTCGGAAGAACTTGTTAAAGAGAGCAATGTGAAATGCTTAGGGGAAGACGTTGGACCCCTTGTGTGTATCTCAGTATGAAATTACAAGTAAAGTGAGCATGTATCTGAAAATAAAAGAGAATGAAGATTCTGTACCTGCAGCAGGATGCAACAGATATCCAGGTGAGTCTCCAGAGCTTGATCAAGACCCCAGTTTCCAGAGGTCAGAGGAGTGATGACTAGCTCTTCCTCAGAAGCCGAGTGGCTGCCTTGAGAGAGAATTCCATGACTCCTCAGCGTGCTCTGCTGGAAAGAACTGATGCTAATGGGAAAAGAAAGTATGCATAGATCAGGCTTTTTGCAGGTCGCTGCGGACTAAAGTTTCTGTCTCTGAACTCACCCACTGTCCTTCAGTCTCAGGCTTCCCAAACAAGAGGCGTCATCATCTCCGTTCAGGTCGTTTGACAGAAAGTCAAAGCTACCCAGCACCTCCTCAACAGCCAGAGTCTCCTCTGATGATGAGCTTCTCAGCAGTGATAGGTCGTTCTGGTAAGACATGAGGAAAGAGAAGGTTCACTCACAGCATGTGTGTTTACAGGCGTTTCTACAGTTTTTGTATAAATACACACAGCTACCTTCAGTATGGTGGCTAGATGCAGTATCTGGTGCTCCAATGCTCTCAGCTCCTTGTCAGCACAGCTCTGATCCTGTAATATTTTCTCCAGCTCTGCAATAATGGCTCCCAGTCTGAGCGCCTGGGCATGACGTTGGACCCCGCTCACAGCCAGCCTCGGAGCAGCTGCTGCAGGGGAGGTTTGTGGTGCAGCTGGGGTTTGAGAAGGTGGTGTTGGCAAGGCTGTGACAGAGTATTCCTCACAATCTGTGGAGTCCTGGGACAAAGAAGGAAAAACTGAGTTTAAAAATGAGAAGACCAGACGAAAGAGACACAAGGTGACAAAACCGAGCTGTGACAGCGAGAGAAGAAAAGAAGAAGAAAAGAGAGAAGCTGGAAAATAACACAGACAAGCAGAAAGGAGATGACAAAAGCTGAAAAATGAAAAGGCCACATGAAATGAGATAAAACTGCAAAAAGCGACCACAAAAATGCTTCATAATGTCTTATTGAAGGTTGAATAAATACATTTTTTCACCTCAATGAAAAACATGCAGTCAAGCACTTAGATGCACTCAGTTCTTTGTCTTCTTTTAAGAAAACTGGTCAAAATTTGTCTGACTCTGAAATATCTTTAACTCTAATTTGTTACAATTAGTTGCTAAAGCGAAACAACAGTAAATCAATTGTCTTGTCTTTGCATTTAATGTTTTGTGCCGTTTCTCAGGGGTTCCCACAGTGTTCACGCCACCACTCGTGTATCATTCTTATATACAATTACAAAACACAGCAGCAAATCCAATTGTGACAAATCATCACTGAAACCGACACTGAAAGTACAGTCATTGTTAGATAGGATATATTAATAGGTTATTTTTAAAAGTGAAAACAACCCCCCTCAAGCCCACATTTAAATAGAACTCTGGAACAAGTAGAAAGCTAGGTCAAGGACATCAAAACAACAGGTACAGCTGCTTTTTTGACTTTTAATTATCGTTTACCATTGCAGTGTGAAAGTGACTGTCAGCAAAGTGTTTCTATGACCCGAGTGTGGGCTCTTTACCTGCCCAGTGACTGTGTCCTGACTTGGGGCTACGCTGTGGGTCTCAGGCTCTGCTTCTCCACATGTGTTCTTTCTCAGGATGTCTGGAGTGCTCGACCTGCATTAAAGGTAAAAACATTATTATTACTGTCCAGAAGTACTGTGCTAGTCTGTTTGTTCCTCTTCCACTGGCCAAGTTTAAGGCGTCTTTGCATCAAGCTACTGGGCTGGTACGGTCATAATTCGTCCTCTGTTCTGACTTTCACCTGTGATTGTTAAAATGGATTTTTGCCATTCTTATGACACCAGAATAGATAACGAACAGATAAACAACAGGAAGGTTCCTGTTTTAGGCTCTTTTAGGAGTACCTCTTGTCATTGTTAATCATTGTCATTGTTAACTTTACATTTGAAGCTTTAACAAGTATTATCAATAAAGAAAGTATTGACTCAAAAAAGAAATTCATCTCAAATTGTGGGGTTTTGCATCTTTTAAAAAGCTGTTTTTTCCCCCTTGTAAGTTAAATATTGTATCCTGTATTGTAACTTTGCTTACCACAAAGCTTTAAGCTTAGATATATCTTGTTGTTGTACTTCCTGCCTTTGCTCCGTTTCCTCCTCACCTTCTGGTTGTCTCACAATCATTATATATCATTTTTCCCTCCATCTCAGTTACATGCTGTTTCACTCCTGTAGTTGTGGCCTGTATTCCTTGAATTGCTTTTCACATGTAACCAATTCTTTGCTTCTGGGAACCAATAAAAACATATTTAAACATAGTATTCTCTTGAGTGAATCCTCACCTCTGTAAGGTCATAAGGGAGTCTGTTTTACTTTCTTCTGGTAAGGATGGACTCTCTAACACAACTCCCCATTCCTCCTTCTCCTCGTCTACCTTCTTGTCCACCCTCTTCTTTGTCTCCGACTCCTCTGTTGAGATCTCCAGGGATTCTTCCTCTCCGAGTGACAGCTGAGTCCGACTTCCTCCCAGACTGGTGTCTCGACTCGGGCTGAAAGGGTAGCTGTGAGCCCTTGAGAGACTGTGGACAGTTGACCAGAAAGCAGTCTTGACTAAAATAATTATGCTGGATAATTCCCACCACATTCAAATAAAACGGTGTAATAAAGCCAGAATGGTTGCACTAACTTCTTACGCTTATTACTTACATCTGAAATAAGGTTTCTTATTCTGTACAGCAACAATCCAAAAATGCTACTAAACACTGCTTTATAGCTGATGAATACAAAACAGTTAATATTCCTAACACGTATTGTCTCTGTAGCCACTGTGCTCCCTTCATTTGAACCCTTTTAACTTCACACGTCACACCTCGGGGTGTATGGGCTCTGAGGACTGTGGCTTGATGCGATAGAGGTGTTTGAAGGGTTGGAGAGGTAGCTGAGCAGAGACATTCCTCCTCTGTTGGGATGACTTTTGGGCACCAGAGATGGAAGAGAACCTTCCTGATCCCGCAGCTCACGCACCATAGACTGAAAAAAGTAATAGGATAAACAGTCTGAGTGTGCTATGAATTTGAGTTATTTACATAAAAATGTAAGAAAAACTTAGGATATACTTCATTGGTAATATCACAATAAACAAATTTGGCAATATAACAAAACGGGGAATAAAAACAGAACTGAATGAAAAGGTTGATGCTGAATCCTGCTACCAGTACATGTGCTTTGCATTAATAAAACCCCTGAGTGCGTGCATGTGTGTGCACACATACGTACAATAAAGTATTTCTCAGTGAAGGAGGGGGTGCTCGGTGCCGTCCAGCTGTACACTGAACTCTTTCTGCTGGACACTGACTGCTTGTTTCCAGACAGCGGCCTCAGCTTCTCAGTGCCGTCAAATGGACTGCAGGTGTTAGCACACAGAAGGTTATACACTGCACAACAAACTGTATGATATGCACTGCATAAACATATGTTTTTATCTATTTGGTATTAAACTGGTCGTGATCATTAGCCGTCTGTTCAATGAGTTACTTTTCAGAGTTTTGCAACGTTTTATGCTGTTGTGGGCTTTTTGGTTACCTTTCCTCACATTTAGAAGCATTTCACAAAGTGAAGCGCTAACTGCTTCTGTAATTTTCATGGCCTGTTTTATTAGTGGGTGGTTTCCTCAAAAAGTGCAGTGCTTCTCAAGTTGATATGATAATATGCTAAAGCTATAATTCTGACTTGTATTTTACTAAAAACGTAATCATTAACAATCAAAAAGATGTGATAAAAAAAAGTGATTTGGAGCATGAATGTTTTTTATTTTAAAAAACATTCGACTTGCTAAAAATCGTTTTTCTTAATCTGAGCTTTCAGTGAATCATTTTCTTTCCATCTTTTTGTATTTGCTGAACTCATTTTGTCACATTATTACATTTTATATGCATAAGAGAAACGAAGGGAAAGCAGTGAAATGTTACGTATCTTTTAGCTTAACAGAGGTGCATAGTGGGCGTATGTGTGCGTATGGCCACGGCAGCCTTTTGTTTGTGTGCGAGTGTGTGTCTGGCAGCCTTGTACAGCTTTGTGTGATTTTTCCATCTCTCCAGGGGGAGGATCTGTGAAACATCCTCCACCTGGCCCCTCTAAAGCCTGAAATGTGATCTGTCATGGTGCAAGGGCACAGCGGAGTGCGTCTGCGTGTGTTACTGTGTATGTGTGTGTGAGTAAAATGTTCATTCTGTATTCAATCAGCTGCTCAGCAACAGCTGGCTCAGGTTAGAGGTGCGGCAGAGACTGAGAATGAAGAAAACAGCAGCTACAGCTTCAGCAGGACGAGTGGATGTGAATCTGTAACATCATTTGTTGTTGCCTGCTTTGTTCTATTTGATATTTTCTCTGGTTTTACAGCTGTGAGCATCTGGAAAAGTAATTATTAAAAAAAAAGTCTGAAATTAAAAAAAAGAAAGAAAGGAAGAAATTACTTTGGCTGAGAAATAAATGGAAAAAACATGACTTGTTATCCAGTAGTAAAATCTGTCATCTCTTCATTCCACCTTTCACTGAAAAAAGGAACGTTTCTGATGCGGTTGCGTGGACCAGCTGCACTTATCATTCATGTGTCTCATGGAACATGATATCTACACCAGCAGCAGGACAAAAAGTGGAGCCATGATGGAGAGGTCAGGACAAAAGTTCAGCTAAAACTTTAATATTTTTTATGTTGCAGATTAAAATTCCTCAATCTGTCATCCAATTATTCTCATTTCCTTTTTGGAATTTTGGTTATTCCCACTTCACCCTTTATCACAGCAGAGGAAATACCAGCATTTCAGAGTTGTCATCATCGTCATCACCTCATCGGTTAGTTTCAAATCAGATCTTTATCTTGTTTTCATGTGTGTGTGTAAGAAGTCTGCGTTCGTACTTCCAGGTCACTTCCAGCTGCAGTTTGATGGTTCCCAACTCCGTGATGTCCACCAACATCACCTGAGGCCTTGCCACAAAGAAGTCTGCGCTTGCACACGTTACCATGCCAACCAGCAGCCAGCTCAAACCCTTTGCTTCCGTCACCTAAAACAAAGGATGCCATTGGTTAAAGATACAGGGAGTGCAGAATTATTAGGCAAATGAGTATTTTGTCCACATCATCCTCTTCATGCATGTTGTCTTACTCCAAGCTGTATAGGCTCGAAAGCCTACTACCAATTAAGCATATTAGGTGATGTGCATCTCTGTAATGAGAAGGGGTGTGGTCTAATGACATCAACACCCTATATCAGGTGTGCATAATTATTAGGCAACGTCCTTTCCTTTGGCAAAATGGGTCAAAAGAAGGACTTGACAGGCTCAGAAAAGTCAAAAATAGTGAGATATCTTGCAGAGGGATGCAGCAGTCTCAAAATTGCAAAGCTTCTGAAGCGTGATCATCGAACAATCAAGCGTTTCATTCAAAATAGTCAACAGGGTCGCAAGAAGCGTGTGGAAAAACCAAGGCGCAAAATAACTGCCCATGAACTGAGAAAAGTCAAGCGTGCAGCTGCCAAGATGCCACTTGCCACATTGACGAGAGTCAAGTGTGCCGGCCACTTCACATTTGCCATATTGAGCTGCAACATCACTGGAGTGCCCAAAAGCACAAGGTGTGCAATACTCAGAGACATGGCCAAGGTAAGAAAGGCTGAAAGACACCACCACTGAACAAGACACACAAGCTGAAACGTCAAGACTGGGCCAAGAAATATCTCAAGACTGGTTTTTCTAAGGTTTTATGGACTGATGAAATGAGAGTGAGTCTTGATGGGCCAGATGGATGGGCCCGTGGCTGGATTGGTAAAGGGCAGAGAGCTCCAGTCCGACTCAGACGCCAGCAAGGTGGAGGTGGAGTCTCAGCCTCGACGCGCAGGTGAGGTGATTGGTTTGGCTGGTATCATCAAAGATGAGCTTGTGGGGCCTTTTCGGGTTGAGGATGGAGTCAAGCTCAACTCCCAGTCCTACTGCCAGTTTCTGGAAGACACCTTCTTCAAGCAGTGGTACAGGAAGAAGTCTGCATCCTTCAAGAAAAACATGATTTTCATGCAGGACAATGCTCCATCACACGCGTCCAAGTACTCCACAGCGTGGCTGGCAAGAAAGGGTATAAAAGAAGAAAAACTAATGACATGGCCTCCTTGTTCACCTGATCTGAACCCCATTGAGAACCTGTGGTCCATCATCAAATGTGAGATTTACAAGGAGGGAAACAGTACACCTCTCTGAACAGTGTCTGGGAGGCTGTGGTTGCTGCTGCACGCAATGTTGATGGTGAACAGATCAAAACACTGACAGAATCCATGGATGGCAGGCTTTTGAGTGTCCTTGCAAAGAAAGGTGGCTATATTGGTCGCTGATTTGTTTTTGTTTTGTTTTTGAATGTCAGAAATGTATATTTGTGAATGTGGAGATGTTATATTGGTGTTCACTGGTAAAAATAAATAATTGAAATGGGTATATATTTGTTTTTTGTTAAGTTGCCTAATAATTATGCACAGTAATAGTCACCAATGTACTTACACACACACAGATATCCCCCTAAAATAGCTAAAACTAAAAACAAACTAAAAACTACTTCCAAAAACATTCAGCTTTGATATTAATGAGTTTTTTGGGTTCATTGAGAACATGGTTGTTGTTCAATAATAAAATTATTCCTCAAAAATACAACTTGCCTAATAATTCTGCACTCCCTGTATACACACAGAAAGTTTTTTTCCCTACACAAACAGTAAAACAAACACAGAGAGGAAAGAAATTACAGCCCAAAGAAATACAGGTCACTGTAATAGCAAAATTCCTAAAAGGACAAAAAAGATGAAGTATTCAAATTTCTGGAATAAAAATACGCAATAGGTGTTTACACTGCCGTACACCTGCAGACATGTCCGATTACCTTTATCTCAAAGTTGTGGTGAATGTGTGGGAGGAAGACCATCTCCTCCTCATCCCATGACTGACTATCATCTGATTCAATCCTCCCTCTGATCTTCCATCGCTGGCGGCCCAGTCGTACTAACACCTGTCAATGTGACATCATTAAGACACGACGTCATCATCCAGAAACCATAAAACACCAACCAAAGTCAGTAATTTTGGTCTAAGAGTCCAAAGGTTCAGTTCACAGTTTGTCTGTTTTTCCTGACAGTGCAGGTAGTTTGTGGAGGATTTATAACAAATTTGGCACGTTATAGTTTGAAATGTTAATTTAAATACAAGTACAAATAAAAATACAAATACAAAGTACAAACAAACAAAAAGAACCTAAGTGATAGTTGTTGCATTTCAGATTAAATTGATTAAGTCTTCATGGCATTATTTTTAAAATGTTTGCTTTATTTTTTCCATTTCTTAAACTTTTGCACAGCAAAAATAAATGAACTTATAAAGAGAGATCTTATTTAATTTTTTTTAAGTTTTTTTTAAAAGAAATGTCCAAAAGTCTTTAAAATTAATCTTTTTCTATTATATAATAATATATATTATATTAAAATTAAATATATTAAATTATTATTATTATATATATAAATATAATATATATTATATTATATATAATATATTTAATATTATATTATTAAATATATATATATTTTATATATATATATATTTTTTTTAGTACTTTGGGGGACTCCAAAGTAACATTTCTGGATGAGATCCAGAAGTTGTTGTAAAAAAAAAAAATTAATTATGTTGACATTATTGTTGGTTGGTGTTAGAAAAACAAAACATCCCCCCAGGGCAGAGATTCAGATTTCAAAATGATTCAATTCTATCTATCATCAACAATAAAAGAACTTGCTGTACACTTAAAATGTAAATATTAAAAGCTTGATTGAAAGGACGAGACAATAGATGGTGTTTCTTTCACTTGTCCTGCACATTAAGTTATTTGCATGCAAATGCTGAAAATTCTTGGTTTTTAAATAGAAAATCCAACCTCGTACTGGTCTCCTGGACAAAGTCGAGCGAAGCCGATGAGACCTGCAAGTGAAAGCAGACGTTAGATGTCTGGGAGATAGTGTGTCACTGATAACCTGTAAATTGCTCAGGGCTCTGAAGGCAGCATGTGTGCGTGTGTGTGTGTGTTCGCACCCTTCATTTTAATGTGTAGCTCTCCTAGCAGGATTTCTAACTCTCCTTCCATTGTTGACATGTCCTGCAGAGAAGTGAACACACAGAGAAAAAAAAAAAAAGATCTTCTCTAACAGTTCTTTGTCTATTTTCTCAGAAGATTGCATGACTCACGGTTCATCAGGTTATGGTTCAGCTTTCCCAGTCATCCACTCTCTGAAACCTGGTCTAGCTGTTTTAGCTCCTTAGCTGCCTTACCTTTTGATTTGCTGTTCCTCACAAACAGAAGGTTTGACTGTGCTCACAGCGCGCAGGAAACGACCATTTTAAGGATAGCCAATATTTATTTCGGCAATAAAAGCCAAAAGCAAATCCCTTTAAAATCTTTGGAAAGGTTTATGCACTTCATTACTAAGAAATAACCATCAGCAATCCCCAGAATTTTTTTACTCTTAACATCTAACACAGGTGATCCGTCCAGAGGTAAAAATGTCTCATTTCTTTTTTTTTTTTTTCCCAATTTCTTTTAAAGAGATCTCAATAAAGTTGACACACTTTGCAACATGCAAACAGAACACCATAAATGTTCTGGTTCTTGTACAGCACTTTTCTGTTCTACTGGAGCAGTCAAAGCGTTTTATACAACATGCCTCATTCACACCTGTTCATTCAATCACTTTTTCACACTCCATTGAACGCATCACAGAGCAACTTGGCGTTCAGTATCTCGCCCAGGGATGCTTTTGCTGCAGATTGGAGCAGCCAGGAATCAAACTACTAACTGATTAGTAGAGGACCTGCACTACCTCCTGAGCTTAAGCCAGCCGAACACTATGTAGCGCAATATTTAATACATGATGAAAAATACAATTTAATGTAGGCATGCATGCATGCATGCAAATGAATTTTCTTATATAAATAAATATAATAATTACATTAAATGTTATTGTCATCTGTGTCTCCATCTGTCTAGCTTCCATTTATTAACTATTAACCACAGTTACAGTAGCAATGAATTATGTCTAAATAATAAAAACAACTATAATTTAACTTAAGGGAAGAAACAAACTGTAAAAGAACAGTGACCCCAGTAAACAACAGTGTGCTCATTTAATGATTTATTCTGGCTCTCTCTCTATGGAAACCTTTAAAGGATTATTATGCTTTTGCATTTTAATGCTGACTTTCTGGCTAAGAGCTGGACTTCACCACAAAGAAGAGCAGATGAAGCAGCATGTGTCGAGCAGACTTTTGTCATCTGTGTGGGCTGAAACTGCAGGAGGTCGCATAGCACCTCCTGCAGTTTCAAAACTGAGGACCAAAGTGGTCAATTTATCAGTAGTGAAGACTTTTTAACATCATTCCTAATATAGATGCATGCCTGCCCATATTAAATATGGTCAGTTTTAAATAATGAGGCCAGCATATATACAAGTAACATGCAACAGATCGTTTACCAGATCTCCATTTATTATGGTCACATTGTTTCTCATGTGTCTGTCTGATTGCACGGTGGGCACGTTTGGATGTTTAAAAGCTGATCAAATGAAGGAAAACCCCAATCACCACAATCCAAACATAACAAGAAATAAAATGTTTATGTGATGCCTACACAATCTCACTAATTTAATTTACTATTGTGGTACGCTGCCAAAGAGGCTTCTTTAGAATTGAAAAGAAAAAAAAAAAAGAGTTAGTATTGTGCCAGCATTTTTAGTTCTTGATTTGACTTGAAAAGTGAAGTTACACAGCCTTAACTTCACTCTTATTTTATTATGGAAACAAGAAAACAGTGACCTGCATGCAAGCATTAATTACAAGCGTGCAGTTTCAGCTTCAGTTTATCATTTAACTCCTTCAATCCACTTAAACTTCAGTCTGTTTTCTTAATCTTAAGACAAACACCCAGATTTTTGCAATTGTAATAAAACAACACTTTAATCTTTCCTATGGGAAGTTGACTTCATCCTTAAAAACTGGCTTTCTTCTCACTCTGTCAAAACCTTATATGCCAGGACAGTAGAAACTGTGTGTGCAGAAGAACAATTCTCCAGTGGCTGCTGATATTAAAAAGAAAGAACAAAACAAAACAAAAGCTCTTCTACGGAGTTTCTGTTCACCTGCGAAAATCACAATGGCAAATGCAGTAAAATGGTTTGTGATGCTGTGGTGCCCTTAATACCTACAGAAAAGTATCTTGTTACATCTGAAAACTGTATTTATTATCTCAGCCTCTACTATCAGAGAACACATGAGAACATTTAACCCAAGAAATTTACATGTTGTGCTAACTGTATTTTGAAATTGACTCCTAAGCACAAGAAGTTCTGAATCATCCCAGAAGTGGGAATGATTGTTATTTTAATAATCTCGTTGTTGTTGTTTTTATTGTATTTGACTTAATTAGGCATCTGTTCCTATAATACCCCCAAATTTAAGTAAGCATGCGAATGATGATGATTATTGGAGAAAAGAACATCAGTGGCCTAAGATTCTCAGTAAACGAGGTTATTCAAGCTTTGTAGGATTAAGTCAAGGTGAGCTTTAAGTTATCACCTCTCATCCAAGTAGAGTGTTCAGTTCTGAAAAACCTCTTAGCAGAGGTCAGAGATTTTAACTTTAAAGAAACTTCAGACTCTGAACATCTTTTGTTGAGTGCAGGTCAAATAGAAGGAGAAGTAAGAACGTATATGCTGGACAGTACATAGGCATGCATGCAACCGTGTATACAAACAAGTGATGAGCACACCATTCATATATAAGTTCATCTTTATAAGATCTGGTGTGTGTGTGTGTGTGTGTGTGTGTGTGTGTGTGTGTGTGTGTGTGTGTGTGTGTGTGTGTGTGTGTGTGTGTGTGTGTGT